GTGAAGTGGTTCTAATCTTTTTTTAATGAAAGTAAAATTTTGCCTTTCATTTTGAAATCAAGGTCTCAGAATCTGAAAGAAGACTGGACAGAATCTAAGCTAACTGTGAAGCTAGCCAATGATGATAAAGGAGCCGTGTCATCTGCTGCTGTTGGTTCACCAGTAGGTCCAATCAGCTCCAAATTCAGCCCGGAAATTTCAGAGCACTTCCTGCTTCCCTCTGCTCGCAAACTTTATGGAGATGCTGATTTCATTCTCCTTGGCACCTACCCGCACTGCTACAAGAACCATTTCCGTTTAATGATAATGGCATTACTTTGCCTGGTTGGCTGGCAAACTGCCTGACCTAAAGCCTGTAGAGAATCTATTGGGTAGATTTAAAACCACGAGACATCAGACAAAAAAAAAAAAGGCAAGCAAGCTGATGAGGTTCCTCAACACCTCATCAGTCACAGCCGGATCACCTTCAGTCTATGCTGCATTTATGTGCCAATCTATACTCAAGGAGAATTTAGTCATCATCATCATATCTTTATTCCAGACACAAAAAAGGTACATGGGTTTTTGCTAAAGAAATAAATACTCAAATATGTCAATCTGTGTGTAATGTATCTATATATTTATTTTACTTTTTCAATTAAACTACTCAATTACATTCACTTTTATAAATGATTGACAGTAAATATGAATAAATATAAACAACTGACAACTTTTGCAAGTTGGTATTTCTTTTTTCACACTGGGTTGATGAATGTAAACATGATTACCTTCTGGTGCTCGTTTTGTCGGGCTTAATTTCAGCTTTTTTGTTGAGGTCACCAAGAGATGTGGATAAATACAACTCCTTGGCCCCTGTGGAGACTGCAGGCATCTTTGTAGGCGATGAGTTCAGAGCTCACAAGCTGATGACCAGTCAGTGTCTTACACAACCTCTGGACATCTCTAAACACATTAGAAGCAAAATTAAAAGGACACAAAAACCAGTATTCGTGTGAAGATAAGAAAAAAATTGCTTACATAAAAAAAAGTCATTACGATAAAACACAATTCAGGCGAAACATATTCAACTCGGTTTCCATTTAGTGCTTAAAAGTCATTTTAAACAACCGTAAATGTTACTTTCACTATCATCATGTTAGCTAGCTTTAGTTAGCTGTAGACAACAACATCAAGTTGTTTTCGCTAACGTTAGCTAGGACGACTTCTTCTAATAATATGGTCAAACCTAACCTGACGGACTACTAAAGAGGGCTTGCGCTGTAAATTGTAAACACCAACTCCTTTATTCATAAATGAACCGTTTAGGACATAAAATGTGAACTTGTTTTTGTTGTCTTCCTAGTTAGCTGCCTAGCTGCGTTAGCATGTTGCGTTGTGGAATAGCGCACTACACAACTATTACTGCTCTGACATTCACAGCTACAACTGAATTCAACGCGACGCCTACAAGTTTTTCCGTTTGTTTTACAATAAAATACGTAGCAAGAGCTGTTTACTAAAATTTACCTCAACACAACATTATCTTTTCTCCAACCTGCTGGTTACATTTAAGCTACTTTTTTGACAGCTGATTTCTGATTTCTTGTTCCGCTTCCTCCTCCTCTTTCTTCTTCTTCCTATCATTAGGCTGTTATTGTTTAGAATCAGCTCGGCAGCTCAATACCGCCACCAACTGGACTGGAGCGTAAAAAGAAAGGGGAAAGAAAGACTCCCAGTTTTCTGAACCATCACCTTATAAAAATAATAATAAAAAACTTACAACTTCCATCGAAACGAAAAATGGATATCAACTAAGGTACTGTGTAGTAGAAAAGGCTCACCCCGCAGAACAGACAAGTCTCACAGACACTTGTACTTTGTCTTTTAAAACCTACTACTCAATAAAGCAAGAGTAACCAAATTATTGAAAGAAAAAGGTGATATGATGTAATGCCAATGATGCAGCTGGAGCAGTTATTAACTGTTAATTAATTTGCATTTCAATATATTTTAATTTATTTTTTCCCACTTAGTGAAATTCTTTCACTTTGTAGTTTGAAAGAATTTTTTTAACAATACCATCATGTTTAGACAGTTTTTCCAGTCATTATTTTATAACCATATTCCAGCTGCATATCTGCACTTAGCCATTTACAGAAGGAAAAGCATACCAAAATATTATAATCCAATTGATTTTTAAGCCTTTGAACAATAGGAGTAAAATTTAAAATAAACTTTTTAGCTAACGGTATTTGTTTTTTTTTTTTTCTTGTCCTCATATTCATGAGGTAACATTCATAAGGCAAACCCTATTAATTAAATAATGTATAATCTTTTATTTCATTCAAAAATTCATTAAAAATGAGATGTTATTTAAAGATCTATCTAAACTGTTTGGGAAAAAATATCCTGACAGATCAAACAAATTAAATACTTTCCTAATCAACATTATTCAGTTTAGAAACTTACTGAAATTTATGTCGCTTTAACAAAATTACCCCTTAAGAATTTATCCTAAGTTAATATTTCCCTGCTCACCTTTCAATTTAAGTTTTGCTAACATTAATATTTTCAGGTGGATATTTTTCTTGAAGTACATCTATAGGATAATTTGGCTTACAATGTGACTTAAGCACCTACAGTGTTGTGTAAATGTATTTTGTTTAAATTTAAATACTACATTGCATTCACATAATGAACAGTTCCTGTTTTCTTTTATATTTTGTCTTAATTGTCATTAAAGTTTACTTAAAAATGAAAATAATTATATTTCATGTCTTCTGAATCATGGACTTTTTCTTTGTAATAAAGGCAGATGTCAATCAGGTCTTATCAGCTCATTTGAATAAAACAACCAAAGTAGGACCGAACGTAAAGCACTTTGTCTTTGATGTCACCAAGTAGCAGTCCGTCCTCAATTGTGCAATTATAATTCAGCCTGCTTTCATCAGGCTCTCAGATGTGAAGCAACAAAAGGGTAAAGGCACAATAGTCGCACTGTTTTCGATTTCACGTAACGGTTGTTTGAATATTTATGAGCAAGCAGCGACTAGGCAATGAAATGAAAAAACATTTCTGTTACAGAGACGGGTTTTTTTTTATAATTATTTCTGTAATGAAGTTTGAGACAAACTCAAACTTCATCCATGTTCATGTGTGTTAAATTGACAATTCATTTATAGACACAGAAAAAGCTATAAGAAATTTAAATATAGGGCAAATGAAAAGTTGGGGCAAGTTAAAAATACAGTACATGGTCCTTTCAATGAGATAAGCTAAAGAAAAAATATAGCATTATTCTAATATGTAAAAAAAACTAAAAATCCTATTGCTTTCAGATGACAGAGAGAAAAAGCTTCTGTATAAAAAAGGTTCCTGATAACATTGTGTGTTTATCAGACCAGCACTTTCTGTCCTGATGAATGAAGATGCAGGAGTTAATGCCTCAAATATTTTCCTGAGTGTCTTTTTTTCCAAAGCACTGTTTGCTTGAAACTGAATGAGCTCCCTGATTAAACACTAGTGAGATCATGTAAGTGGTATCACATGTCGAGCACAAAGCCCAGGAAACGGCCCGGTGTGTGAACAGTCCAGGTGATGCTGCAGCTTTTGTCATGCCGTTTAAAAGCCAGCCATAAGTTGCGACATGTGATGGTTTTGGCCTCATGTCATCTTTGTACTGTTTGCTCTTTGTTCATTTATTTTGCATAATGTCACCTGCATCTCACTTTTGTCTGGTTTGTAGATTCACCGGTCCTTATAAATGCTCAAACAATGTCTTGGAACTGTGTTCAGGCGATAATGTGAAAACGTGGGTCCTACTGTATTTTCTTTTCTTCTGTTTTGGTGTAAAATTCACCCCAGGTCCTGAAGCACCAGAGCACACCCAGGCCGTCACACCTTCACAGCTGACGGAATCGCATTTTCTAAAATGTTTTGTCAGTTTTGTGTCAGACAAATGTACAGAGAATATTTTCGTAAAAGTTTTGGGAATCATCAAAATGTTTTAGAGGAGTGCGTTTATGGGCTTTATGGTTTAAAACTTGGAAACCTCACACGCCCATACTCCTGTTGCGTTACAAACTCTGACCTAACTGGGCCAAGGGAGGCCTCAAATGAGCTCCAGATCTTGTCTGGGATCCTTTGTGATTTTCTGGATGGGTTGTTGATGGTCCTGGAATGTCTGCCCTTCTCTCCATTTATGAATAACGCTTCTCACTGGGATTCAATGGAGTCTCAGCATTATCTGGGTACGGGGGCGTAACAATGAATGACCAGGGAATGAAGAGACAAAAACCAGGAGGGTACGGTAAAAAGGTTTGAGGAAAAACAAGGTAACCTGGGAGTTGGAGGAAGAATCTAAAGCAGGTTAGGATGAAACACTGTGAATTAAGCAACTTAAAACTTATGGGTTTTTTTTAATAAAGATGAACCACTGCTGCATGTAGTAATATCTGGAGATAATGTGATGTTTTTTTGAGATTTTGCTGCCTACTTTTCTACTGAATAAAATTAGATCTGGTAATGCCTAATGCAATTAAACCTAACTTTTCAAAACATGTACTCAACAATAGTTAATATAAGTTAACAAGAGGTTACATCTCCACACAGGGCCAGGTTCATTTGGATAGTTTTCTTTCCCTTTTTTTTAAAATGATTTTTTTTCTTCATAAGATAATGATCTTTGGGGATAAATCTTGTTTGTTGGGGGGAAAATAAACGAAAATGGAGAACATTTTTATGAAGACAAATGCTTTCCACGTAAAAAAAAAAATTATAATTCATTGCAGAGATACTGTTATTGTAATGTACCAAATATTTTGTCTGAGTTTACATTTCCAAACTAGCACTCATGAATGCTTCAACGCTCACAGACCAAAGGCGCATAAAGGTAGATGACTAGAATAACACATGAAAAGCATCTGCTCGATGGTTCAGTCGCGTCACTTACTCAGGGCGTGTTCCTCACAACGACGTCTATATAGTCCTGTGATCCCTGATGACAAGTGCACAACACATCTCTGCAGCCAGTTGCAGCTCTGCTCAGTTAAAGACAGGACTCTTCTCCAAAAATGCAGGTTGAGGAATACAACCGCAGAGGTAACTACAGGCTCTCTTTTTACTGCATTTACTCCATTTCATGACAGATAAACATGCAAAGTCAGCTGTAAATTTGTAAAACATTAAACTAAATTAAACAACAACTGGGGACATCGGAGTGATTTCAGTGTATGTTACTGTGCAGGTAAGGAGCTGGTGGACTACATCACAAAGTATCTGAGCTCGATCAGGGAGAGGAGAGTCATCCCAGACGTGAAACCCGGCTACATGCGGGAGCTGCTTCCCGAAGCCGCGCCGACCGAACCAGAGGACTGGGAGGACATCTTCAACGACGTTGAGAAAGTCATCATGCCCGGGGTGAAATTTCTGTCAATGCCCGTCATGTCAACAAATGTAAAAAAAAAAAAAGGATTCTACACTTAATGCAGCATCTTGAGTGTTTTCTTCTGTTTTTGTCCAGGTGGTTCACTGGCAGAGCCCTCACATGCACGCCTACTACCCCAGTCTGACCTCATGGCCCTCCATGTTGGGGGACATGTTGGCCGACGCCATCAATTGTGTGGGATTCAGTTGGGTAAGAGCCCAGCACGGCACACAACCCCCCAAAAAGTGGAGGCTGTGTATCTTAACGTAATTCTGATTCTTGACTTTCTGTTAACACAGGCCTCCAGCCCAGCCTGCACAGAGCTGGAAATGAATGTGATGGACTGGTTGTGCAAAGCGCTGGGGCTTCCCTTTTTCTTCCTGCATCATCATCCTGACAGCATGGGTGGAGGTCTGCTGCAGGTTTGCAAACTGCATTTTCCATTTTGAATCCTCTGCTTTTGCCTGGACCTCACGATTTCTCCCCTCCGTCCCCCCTCGACCTAACAACTCTTAGAGCACCGTCAGTGAGGGGACGCTAGTTGCTCTTCTGGCGGCCAGGAAGGACAAAATCCTGCAGCTGAAGGCCGAGCTGGACCAGGAAGTGGACGACTCGGTTCTCAACTCAACGCTGGTGGCCTACGCTTCAGACCAGGTCCACGTTGCCTCCTCTCTGTCAGCGACTGCCCCGCCATTGATCCGTTGAGACAAACCAGGACTTGTTTTGTGGCTGCCCTTGCAGGCCCATTCGTCGGTCGAGAAGGCAGGTCTGATCGCTCTGGTGAAGATCAGGTTTCTTCCCCCAGACGAGAAGCTGTCACTGAGAGGAGAGACTCTGAAGCAAGCCATTCAGGAGGACAGGAGAAGGGGCCTCGTTCCCTTTATGGTATAGTTTAAAACGTTTTGTTGATGTTTTGATGAGGAAAAGTCACTGGTGTTTTATGTTTTTGACATATTTAGAGCATTTTGAGCTCTTTAAGTAGTGAGTCACAGTGTACACTTTGTAGTTATTTAAAACAATTTAAAGCCTGTTAATTATTCCGTATTGAGCACAATCACGTGGAGTGAAGAAAAGTCAGAAAAAGTTAATTTTGGCAGAGTTTTAGCAAAGAATTCATCGCTTGTATTAATAAGTTTCTCATATATCTTCTTTAATGTCTATGGTTTCTTTAAAGTGTGAAACCACGACGCAGCAAATAACACGATTTATTTAGCAACTATAAACTGTATTGGAGTACTGTATTAAAAACTTCATGTATGTTTGATCAGGCATGTCAAAAGCAAGATCTGCTTTGGATCGTTAGCCCAAAACACTAAGGAAAAAAAAGAGGATAGAACATTTCACCTCTTACAATATAAAAGATCAAAACCTAGAGAGGCATTGGAAGCATCCGTCACTAAGAAAAGCAAATTTCTAAAAAAAAAAAAAATACAAGAGACACAAATAGACAGGGATATAATGTTAATAATAATTAGGTGAATTAATTGCACTAGCATTTCCTGACACATCTCTCTGTGATCTGGTTTCCCTCCTGTTCAGCTGTGTTCAACTCTAGGAACGACAGGAGTGTGTGCATTCGACAAGCTCTCCGAACTGGGACCAATCTGTGAGTCTCCAAGCTTCACTTCAAAATATGTCATCGATGAGACAAAATCTGTGTTTTCTGCTTCATTCGCAGTGATGGAAATAATAGCTTTTTTTTCTTTTCTTTTTTGAACACAGGTGAAGAAGAGGGACTGTGGCTTCATGTTGATGCTGCCTATGCCGGCTCAGCCTACTTCTGTCCAGAGCTGCGCTGGTCCCTGGAGGGCATCGACTTCGCACAGTCTTTTGTTTTCAACCCTTCGAAGTGGATGATGGTTCACTTTGACTGCACAGCTTTCTGGTGAGTCAGAACACATTGTCTCACCCTCTGAATCAAATTAACATTTTACATTTCAAAGGAGGAGGGTTGGGAGGGAATCAATCAGATGTTTTGAGTGAAGATGATGGACTCAATTGCGTTTTTTTTGTTGTTGTTTTTTTAGGGTAAAGGACAAACATAAACTCCAGCAGACCTTCAGTGTGGATCCCGTCTACCTCAGACATGAAAACTCGCGGGCAGCCACAGACTTTATGGTACCAGAATCCTCGCGTTTTTCACAAAGTCAAACCTTCAGTAGCTTCGTCGCCCAGTAACACTTCTTTTCCTCCTGACGTCCAGCACTGGCAAATTCCCCTCAGCCGGCGTTTCCGATCTCTGAAGCTCTGGTTCGTCATGCGCTCCTTTGGGCTGAAAAACCTCCAGGCTCATGTCAGACATGCAAGTGGCTTTACGCGCTTCAATTGTGAACAATCACAGAACAAATATCTTATATTGAACAAAATAAATGTGAAACTATCCACTTAGTGGAGGTTCAGGAACATTTTTTTTTCTGTTTTAGGGGATTGAGATGGCGAAACTCTTGGAGTCTCACATAAGGAGTGACCCAAATTTTGAGGTTCCTGCTGAGAGACATCTCGGCTTGGTGGTTTTCTGTCTGAAAGTACGCAAACATGACATTAAACAATAAAGATGTGCTAAGAAAAGCTTTATCTTTTGTATGAGGCAACATGCCCTTTGGTCAATTACTGCCAAATTGCATGAATGTCCTCATCACACCTTGGTCAAAGGGACAAGCAATGATGCTTAACAAGATAGGTTTGAAACAGATTTAGCTCTTCAACTATTTTTTATACATACTGGTATTTATTTTTTATATATTTTTTTTTATTCCAGGGAGGAAACGCTTTGACCCAGGAGCTGCTGAGGAGACTGACCCGTTCTGGCACCATGTACCTCATCCCAGCAGAAATCCACATGAAACGCATCATTCGGTTCACGGTGACGTCACAGTTCACCACGGCGGAAGACATCCTCAAGGACTGGGCCTTTATTTCTAAAACTGCTGACACTCTGCTCACTGAGAAGCTCGGCTTCAACAAAGCTGGCCAGCTGAGATCCGGCGTGCAAAAGGCTCCAGGGAAAGAAGGGAATCCAGATCCCCACCTGGACGCCATGGCTGACGAAAAGGAAGACGTGGTCACCCAGCTGGAGAAGGCTCAGATAGATCTGTGGATCGACAAAGCTTGGAATCGACCCAGGAGGCCGATGCGCTCCCTCAGCTGCAGCAGCGAGCCTCTGCCCTACTGGGCGCTGTTTAGCTTTGACTGTGAAACGACACCTGGTCTGCAGGACGGAGCGCACGGCCTCCCCGTGCCGTCAGCCACAGAATCCGGCCCTATGTCGACGATCGCCGAGATGCCTTCGAGTCTTCCGGGGAAACAGGTCCTGAAAAAGCTGACAAAGTTCTACAGTGTTCCCAGTTTCTGCAACCAGTGGGCCCAGTGCAGCAGACACCCGCTAAACTGCCCTCTGAAGGTGGCGCACACCGGTCAGAAAGCCCTCTCCTCCAGCTGCAGGAGGGTGAACCTCATGCTCTCTTCCCCTGCTGCAAACTCGCCTCCTACCTCTCCACTGGAAAGTGCCAATGGTGCCGAACCTCAATAACTCTCAAATCAACGAACGGCAGTTCAGTCAGCTCGCAACCTTCAATAATGTCGACAAAAATACATTTTTTGTAAGCTTTGTGTCTTCTTTGTTTTTATTTCCAATAAAAGTACACCCCGCTCACCGTTTCTGTGTTTCACTCTGGTTTTCTTCCTCACCGAGTCGTAGATGGAGCTATTACTAGCACTAACTGCAAGCATACATGTTCTTTTGTTTCTCAGTTATTATAGAGCGTACTTTGTTTATTTCTTTATACAATACAAAGTACTTCAGACTTAGGTTATCTGAGTTTAGCCAGTTATTTTTTTGTTTGGTTGTTTGAGTTGTCTGAATTGAGTCACAGCTCAAACTTCTAATGCCATTAACTATATACCATAACACTTTGTGTTTCATTATCATAGAAAGGACTCCTGGATCAATGCCACTGCTATCAACCTTTTATTTATTTTAATTGAGCCAGAAAGCTGACATGTACCTTCTATACTTTTACTTTTACTGCATCAAAGAAAGTATTTCTAGTTCAGTTTTTTGTGTCTAGTCTCTTTTTTACTGACAAAGCTATTGCTACCAACAACTAAATATAGATACTCTAATTTTTATTACTGTAGAAGGTAACCCTGGTTTTGCAGTTCTGTTTAGTTGTGTGGAAATTTATTTATCTTTTTTTTTTTTTTGACTAAGCTGTTGATGGACGATTGCTGCTAAAAACTGAATGTACCTTTTACTTTTTTCTTTAACACAAAAAGTTCTCCTGGCTAGGTGATTTTGTGTCCAGCCTTTCCTGAACATAATCATTAGGGAGGAACTGCTGTGTGTGTGTGTGTGTGTGTGTTTGTTTGTTTTTTTCTTGCTTCATTTTCCCATATGTAAATAAACTCCAGGCTCAGGGCTTCGGTGTCTCCCTCTTGTCCTCTCAACACTCAGTTGCTGAAAACGGATGCTCTGGTGGAAGTTTGTTTGAATCCCTTGTTTTGCAAATTGCCTCCAGATATTCGTTGTAAATTGGTGAAATAAATAATACAATAAATGAAATATGAACCGGATTTATTTAAAAATTGTTTTATTTAGATTTGAATTATACATATGTAAACAAAAACAACGATAATCTATTAAATATTCCTATATGACATATTTTCCCTCTCACCCTTTGTAAACATGCTGAATGCATATTGGTCATTTTGCACCACTTTGCAGCCTGTCATTGCCTAAAACGTTTAAAATCAGATGCATCGCTCGACTCGTTCAGAGCTTGAGTGTTCCCTCGGTGATGGCGGCGAGAATCTCCTGAGTCATGGGTACGTAGCCTTTACCGTCCTCCAGGAAAAACAAAGGGTCTTGGATGATGGCGGGGTCGAAACCCTCCTCAGCCAGTTTCGCCTTCAGCTGCTTGAACGTCCCGGTCACCGCTACAGCATCCTGTCCCAGGAACAATTTCTTGTCACTATGAGAATTTTTATGTTGATTTTACCAACATTTTGCATCTTTCTTTCTACATCGGGTCACCTGGATCCGTAAGAAATGTGGCCTGGCGTAGCTGGGCAGGAAGTTTTTGACATGCTCATACACGGCTGCGCCATCAAAGTCTGTGTTTTCTTTCAGCTTCAGAGCCGCCATTCCAATCCTTCCTTCGTGCCCTAATCAGTCCCAGTCAATGTTAAAAGACAACTTTATTAAATCACAAGTCTTTAACTTTTCCAACAATGGTAGAAAAGGTTCTCCTCAGAAGTCATATTCAGTTTTTATCATTACTTTCTACTTGATGTGCTACAATGAGAAAGAAAAAATATATACATTCTTGCCCAGTTAAAAGTAGAAATCTATATTTCTATTTACAAAGTTGTGAAACGGGTAGTAATGACGTAAAATTTACCTGGAACCTTCACACCGTAAACATTAGCCTCCTCAATAAAATCCACGGTCAGTAAATGATCAGCCACCTCAGTGGTCGCCACGTTTTCTCCTTTCCACCTGCACAAGACGAAAACACAGCCGGAGCACATGGAGAAGTTAGCTGCAGGTTGGTAGAATAATAATAATAAAATAAAAAAAAATCCAATATTGTGAAAACTATTACACCTAGAGAGAAATCAATAAAGCAAAAAAGTCAAATATTTAAGTTTCTCAACAGTTAATGTCTCACATAGATTACTCAAAACACTTCCAGTTCCAACATTGATATATTCTACCTGAGACAACTCAGATCTCAGAACATTGTTGTATTTTAAGGGAAAACTAGCTTGCAAACATTTATACCAGCTGATACCACTTTTACATTGGACCTTTTTGTGCCTTAATGATCTTCAGATCTGGAAAAATAATGACAAATGATGATCTTATGTGTCCATTATAGCATTTTCAGCCTGTCTACTATAAGTATAATCAATAGGCCAGCCTAGGATGCAGATTATCTCTGTATCAAGATCATAGAAATATACATCTACAGTATATGTTCTGACTGAAATTATGATACAATCAGTGTTACAAGAGCTTTAAATATGATTTAACCAAAAAGGGCAACTACTTATTGGTGGTAAACCAACTTTCCTTCTGTCTTCATAGGCTCATACTCTTCTCCAAGTGTCCATCTGTATAGATTTTTCCATTTTGTCCCAGCCACTGACCTGAAAGTGTCTCCAATGCGGTCCTGAAAGTAAACAAATCCCTCCTCGTCTATCCTTAACAGGTCGCCGCTGTTAAAGTAGAGGTCTCCCTGCACGAAGACGTCTCGCAGCTTCTTCTTCTCCGTCTGCTGTTTGTTCTTGGCGTAGCCATAGAAAGGGGTTCTCTGTCCTATCTTCCCCACCAGCAGACCGGTTTCGCCTTTACGTTAGAGAAGCAAAAACCATGGTAAGTTTTGAAAAAAAGACAAGGAAGGATGTTAGATTTGCATCTGAACGAACTCACCTTTAGGGACTTCAATGCAAAATCCTCTGGAGCTTCTGACTGGCTCCTCTTTTTCTGTGTCATACCTTATGAGGGCGTATGGACATGACATCTGGGAGATTACGATAAACGAAACATAAGAAATCATTTGAGAGCAATTTGAATATCCTGTACAGATAAAAATTTGACAAGCACAAACAATATACACGTACACATATTATGCTAATTACGATTCTCACCTTGTAGAGTAAATGCTCTCTGCCGACGGCTCCAACTTTTCCCACGTCGTTGATAAATCCAATATTGGATTCTGTCGCTCCATAGCATTCGCAGATGCGAACGTTCCCAAACCGCTGCAGGAAGTCAACCCAGGTGTCCGGCCTTATCCCGTTCCCCAGAGCCAGTCTCACTTTATGATCCTTCTCATTGTCTTTCTGAGGGGAGGGTGAAGGAGAGGTCAGAAACAAACAAAGCATCTTTATGAGCAATGTTGCATAATGATGCAAGAGCAAAGTTAGGTAACGTCATTTTAGTGGCTTTTAAAATGTATCGCCATGTAGTTGGACAAATAAAAATGAGAAATCGGACAGCATGTGAACAAGAATGCAGCATAGTAAACACAGCATCTGTAATTTTAATAGCTGTTTTTAAAGTAATTAAAGTAATTCAATTAAGGTAATTTAGATAAACTGGGCTGAACAGAAGTCGAATACATTTTTTGAAAAGAGAAAAAAATGGGGATTTTATTTTGTCCTTACACTTTTGGCACGTACCATTTGGTCCGAAAGTCACTAATGCATATTTGCTACTTAGTTATTTAGTGCTGCCCAGTTTAAATAGCTTATTTGTGCTTTTTTTCCTGGAATTTTAAAAAGACGTTTGTGTTTCTCCAATCTGGCTCTTCAATCTTTATGCATAAAGAAAAAGCAGTATGCATAAATTTCAGGTCGCTTACGATGACGGCCCGAGGATGCTGCTCGGGGTGCCGCGACGGAGTAGTCCCAGTCAGATGTTAGTAAATGTCAGTGCAGTACCAACTTGTGCTGCAGTGCTTCAGAACATTATGTACAGATGTATGTGTAGGTTAACAGACTCTGTGATGAACAGCATCATTCACACTTTGACCAATCCTGTTCAAAACTCAGGAATCACTGAGTTTATATGGCAGTGGATGACTATTTTATTTTTATTGTTCTTGTTGTCGTTCTGTCTGTTTCTTGTTTTTTTTTTTATGGACCATAATTGTGTCTGAATAAATAGGATTGATTGATTGATTGATTGATTGATTGATTGATTGATTGATTGATTGATTGATTGATTGATTGATTGATTGATTGATTGAGTGATTGATTGATTGATTGATTGATTGACTGTAACATATATTAAATGAAATGAAAGCAAATCTTTATTTCGAACGTGTAAAATGTCCGGGAAAAACATTAAGAAAACGAAACATTATAATAATTAAACATAAAAAAAAAACTTTCACATAGCAACAACTAATGGCCCAAAGGCAAAGAAATTATCAGCACGGATTCGACGTCCCTATTGAATCCATCCTGTCTAGCTGCCCTGCTACACTGGAAGGAAAAGAAAGACCCTGTGTTGTACAGAGAATACAGAGAGTGAAATCAACAGGAAAGCAGCCGACCTCATAAACAACACAACCTGCCTCTGTCTGGCCTCCTGATCTCAGTCACAATGTACCCACAGACTGGCTCCACCAGGCTGAGGACAAGGTTCTCACACCAGGCTGCTACAGTCATAAACTCTCCCTGCTTTTCGCATCCCTCCCAATATATCAGTGTACACAAGCCTCTTCCACTGGGACCTCAACCACACGGCACTCTTAACACAGAGCTCCTGTATGTGTAGGCCAGCTCCTTTCATATTTCTACAGGTTTTTAAATGTAATTTAAATGTTTTCAGGTTATCAAGCAAATCTTAATTTCACACAAACATAAGTGAGAGCTGTCTCTCTAGCTAGCTAGAGAGCTAGCTAGAGAGACAGCTGACTAGATAGATAGAGGTTTTGAAATTATGATCTCATTTATTAAGGAAAAAAGAAACGTCCAAACCATCCAGTGAAAAAGTAACTAATAATCTAATACTAAAGTATGAAACATAACAGCTGCTTGTGACTCAGCTTTGTTTCTCGTCTGTATTGCCTTCCAAACTGTGTTGCTTTCTGAATGTTTTTAGCCTCCTTCATGTCAGACAGGTTCGGTGTTTTTAATTTTTTTTTTATTTTATTTAATGAGTCTTGCAATAATCAGACCTGTAGATGGCTAAAAGTGAAATCAGCTTCCTAAAAAGGGGGTTAATCACATCGTCATTATATTTAAGAGAAATAACCTTTTCTTTATCTTTATCTAGCATTCAAATTCACATGATTGACTGAAGCCTTTAAATTGAACAAAAAGCCAATTTTTTGCCATTTCTCAGGTAGAAGAAACCTGAGAAATGACAAATATCTTTAATGTTATTCTGTGCAGAACAGCCGTGATGTTTGTCTGGTTAGCTGGAGGTTTCTTCCTGTTAAAAGAGAGTCATTCTTCCCCACTGTTGAGGAGGTTATTAAATTATCCAAGTTCTTGGATTGTTAACCCTGCTGAATTTAGAGGACATTTTGATGTGCTCCAAGTTCTTGGATATTTAAGCAATGACTAAACTTTTTAAGGAAGGTTAGGTCTGCTGCTTGATCAAAATGTGCTCTAAATTCAGCAGGGTTAATAAAGGTCTTTTGGGATCGTGTGATTTCAAACTAATGTTCACCTTGGGTGTGTTGCACAGGTAACGCATGATCTCTCCTATGTACTGAATGACGGTCACATTGTGCTTTCTGCAGTCGTTCCAGAAGTTGGAAGCCGAGAATTTTTGTCTCAAAACCACAGTGATGCCTGAAAAGGAAGACGTACAGATAACAGCAGAAAACGAGACACGAGGCTAGCTGAGGGCTCAGTAGTGTTTACAGGTTTGTAAACTGAGCTTTGAGTCTTTCAGACACAAACACTGGAAACCAGAACCAGATTACCTGTTACTTGAGGTTTAACCTTACATAAACTTGATATCATTATTGACACAAAGCAGCAGACAGACAATGACTAAATAGCTACTGGACATCGTCACATTTTTAAGATATTGAGTTAATTCACTTTCTTTTAGGTTCTTCTCCACATTTCTCCTAATACTCACCATCGCTCTAGCTACTCATGGTTCATTCATCCATGAACCATGGATGAATGGTTCATCCATGGTTCTACGACATGTTAATCAGACATGTCGTAGGCGACATGTCTGATTGAAGTCTCTCATGGATTACCTCGCTCTATGGCTCCGCAGAGTCCCATCAGAAATCCAGAGGAGTGATAGAGGGGCAGGTACAAATAGAGAACATCGCTGGAGTGCACACCAATTATAGTCAGGAGAAAAGCTGACATCCATACCCTCTCGTGGTTAACTACAGCTGCCTTGGGAAGTCCTAAAAGATAACATTGCTATTAAAAGCCTTTTGGGTGCAGTTCAAGGCCACAGCCACCAAGAAACACTATGGAAGGAACAGGTCAAGGTCAGACCAGGACGGCTGATTACCCGTGGTCCCTGATGTGTAGATGTAGACAGCGGGAGTTTTGAGGCTGACGTTTGCCCTCAGCTCTGGCGACAGAGGCTCGTCACAGGTCCACTCGATCTTATCGGAGAGGCTTTCAATGCCTTCAACGTCACTGTGGTCGCTGAGGATAAACACGCGTATGCCCTGCTCTCTCAGAGCTGGCAAAACCTCTTCTACGGCTCCTTGCAAGTCTGAGAGAAAGCGAGAAGAAAAGTGGCATTAGAGGTCTGTGCAAATATGAACGGTAGTTCTCAAGGAAGTTACAAATAAATCCAAATATTGCACGTGTAGTTTAATCTAAAGCTGTTTGATTTATTGTCTGTGACACAACGGGGCAGGGGAGAGCAAACAGGAAACCGCATGACAATGTGAGCTATTTTATAGCACTTTTCACACATGGTGCTGTAAAATGTCTATCTTTATCTGCTTGCATTGCTAATAGTTCACCGCTAAGCTGGTTTTCAAACAGAATAAAGTAGTCAGTTTGGATGTGATGGGTTCATTTATCTATTTCTGAAAAAACAAAAAGGGGGTGAAATTAACCTTAATTCCCTTTTCTGCAGCCCGTGTATCTGTATATAGCAACAGAAATATAAAAATAATAAAATTCTGTTCTGGCTTTTGGTTTCTGTGATGAAAGTCACACCTTTTGAAAAGAACTTTTTTGTTGCAAGAACCACCAAAAATAAATCAAATGCATATTTTAAAAGTCAGACTGGACTGTTTTGTTGCTTTTTTTTTTTTTTTTTGCTTTGTTGCTACGGGAAAAAAAATCATGTTTATTGCCATTACATATTTGATTGAACAATGCAGTCAAACTCTGTATTCCATTGTTTTCCTGACAATTTAAGTGTACAGGCTTGTATGACAAGTCACATGTCAAAATTTCAAGTGGAGACTTGAAAAATCCAACATTCGATGCTCAAATAAAGATAAAAAAAATGGCTTATCTTGTTTTCTAATTATTCGTGTCGCAAATCACACATATTCTACAAGATCCTTTAGTGAACAGTATGTTAGTGATTGAAAGGTCAAAATTCAGAGAAATACACTGTTGTTAGCTTATCAAAGCCCACCGTTTTTCCAGCATCAAACTGGAGCAAGATTAGGTTGGGCTTAATGTTATTCCCAGACCCGAGATCCAGCTTAACAGGAAGCACGTACCACATGAGGAACTCGAACCACAGTTTGAGAACCATAGTCTAACTAATTTAATCTACCCAATGATTAGTTCATGTTCTGTTTGTCTCAAAATAAACACAGATGCGTTATAACATTAGCACTGGCTTCAATAGACATTGAAAAACAGGAACAAAAAAAAGCTCATTGGACAAAATCATTCATTTCTCAGCAAGTCACGTGACAGTATAAAAACGGTCTCGGAAAAATGGGATACAGAAAAAAAAAAAAAAACCCTGAAAAAATTCTACAAATGGACCCCCTCTGAAAAGTGGCTCCAGCTTACCAGCACCGGCGATGAGGACCTTGGCTTCGCAGCAGGAGAAGCAGTGGACCAGAGACTTGGACCTGATGTTGGAGTTGAGGAGCGACGCCACGCAGCCCAGCTTGGCCAAACCCAGCCAGAGCCACACAAAGTGGGGCTCGTTGCCCAGAAACACAGCGACTGTGTCCCCCTCCTTCAGCTGGGCGTGCATCGACAGAGCTCTGGCTACTTTGTTGCTCTCCCTGTCGGCCTGCCTGTACGTGTAGGAGCTCTCCTCAAAGATCAGAAAGGTCTTTTCTGGATGCTTCTCCACTCTATCCAAGAAGCAGTCCAGCAGGCTGGAAAAGTTCTTCTTCATTTTGCTCATTCGGATGCCGATGCGAATTACAGTGACCGTGTATCTTAGATCCCCCAGAACATAGGGATTTCGCAAATAGATGAACAATGGCAAAATTGCCAAAACCGTAAATAGGATGTATGCAATCATTGTGCTCCGGGTTGCAGACTCAGTCCTGAGGGTTAAGAGAGCCTCAACCACTGCGGTGAAAAGTTTTGATTCGCTTACGCCTCCTGAACTTTGCCCAACTCCCCCCTCTTCTGGTTGTAAAAGAAGAAAAAAAAGGGTCCACACACGTTTTCACTGACCAACCACTGCTGAAAGGGGAAGCATGTGGTCCCAGGGTCCTATGTTTCAGGGGTGCAGCGCAATCATTTGGGCTTAAAACGTCAGATCATTGTTTAAAACATGACAATGAGCAAAGGAAGTTTGTTGAAAAAGTAGTCAGTGGGATGATGTGCATGTTTCCCATTTACAGTTATGATCACTGACTGAGATCAATCATCAGAGTTTTATTAAATATTTAACACTGAAATCATCACATAGTAACTAATTCAGTGTGGTTTAAAGCAGCAATCTAATTTAATTATAATTAACAACATAGTTTCTACACATTAAATGCCTGACTAACAGTGGTTTTGTTGGCATTTTTATTACATATTTTAAACTCAGAAATGTATTCATGCATTTCTGAGTTTAAATTCTCAGCATGACACTTAGCTCAGGGCTTTTGATGGCCACTCCAAAACTTAGTCGTTGCCTGAAGTTACATTGTACATCTGGAAGCATTTGCTGAGTTGCTTTTAAAATGCCAACCTGAGTTGGTATTTCAGCCCCACATCGATACAGGACTTGTCTTATGTTTTCGTTCTGGATTCGATCCTCGCATTTCGCTCAAAAACATTGGCACAGCTCCTAAATACAGAAAATGTCTCCTCTCCACACACTCGCATATGCTTAAAGAATGGATGAGCTGCAGGCTTCTGGAAATACATTTACAAAATGAACCGGGTCTGTTGATATCCACAATTTGTTTATGCAATACAGGCAAATTTCTTTTAATTTTCCCGACGTTTGATAAACAAAAAAGATGTGCTAACATACACCCAGAGGTTTATTTTCATTTAACTTTTTCATCTAACAATGTATGCAAACATCTGGTGTAGCAGCTAAATTCACAGTGACCTCACATTTCTTAAACACTGTTAGTTGTAGCGTTTTTATAGAAAAGAAGATTTAAAAATAACAGCTGAAACATTTTTAATGTATCCGAACATTGCAATATAGACAATTCATTTCATATGGTGCAAACACATTGAGAGAGTCATATGAAAATGCTCATGTGTGCATTGTCATAGCAACCAGTGCCTTTAAAACGCATCAAATGTAAACTTTTTTTTTTCTAACAGAAAAGTAGCGGTAAGCTAATTATTTTGTTCTTGGTTTTGTATGCACATATTTTCTCTTGTCCTACTGGCTACTTGTTTTCTCTCTCTCTCTTTTTTTTTTAAACAGTTTGAAATAAATTAAAAGAAATAAAACTGTAGTTGAGATTGGCTACACTCTAAAAACTGTATTTGGGCTGCAGTTCATCTTATGGACTTATTTACTTTAATTTCACTTAATTCTTTTGCTTTTGCTATGACAACTTGGTTTTTTTGTGTTCATTTAACTCAAAACTTACAAATCTTTAACCTAAAGGAACTTTTCACTTTGACTTTTACTTAAAACAATTGAGTTCAATGCCAGTTTCGTATCCTATGTCTGACCAACCCAATTTATTATGATCATCCAAGTCAATTCACTAAGTCCTTCCATCTCAATTTGCTAATATTTTATAACTTAATTCATAAGGGGGTTTAACATGACAAATTTAAACCACTCTTACTCAAATCATTTATTTTGTTCTAATAAACATTTAAAATCTCTTTGACTTAAGTCTACAGAAAGTCAACTGAAACCCCAAATTGCCTACTGATCTGCGTATCTGTGTATAAATGTGTGAGTGCAAATGGGTGAATGTGATTCTAGTGTAAAGCACTTTGAGTGGTCAAAATGACTGGAAAAGCGCTATGTAAGTTCAGTCCATTTACTGTATTTTGAAGTAAACTAAATGATTTGAGAAAGACTGACTTAAATCTGTTATCTTAAACATACTTAATAAATTTGTTTAAAAAAAATTAACAAATTGAGTTGGATGATTATGATATATTGAATTGGTTAAACTTAATAAATTAAGTTGGATAAACTTAATTGAATTGCTTGTTACCCACAGAAGCAATTCGATTAAGTTGGTTCAACTATTTTCTTTTTAGAGTGTAAGAGAAACATTTTTATGAATCTTAATAGTCTGTTGAGTAAACCTACATGTGGAGAAAAAGGAAATCAAAGATTAACTTTCATTGCTCTATATATTCATTATCTAACTAATCAAACTGTCCATAAAGGAATAACAAATGACATAATACCTAAAAAAAGAACGGAACAATGACATGCCTCCATGAAATGAAAGCACGTCATGGAATGAAATGACGTGAGTCCAACTGGACTCAACGGAGTCCACTCAATTGGACTCACCTGAGTTCACTCAACTGGACTCAAGTTTAACCTGTTTGTATTGGGCAGGAATTGACCCTAAAGACAGGGTCAATTCCTGTTTTTATAAACCGATATACTAACTCTCTAAAACCTTTCATGTTTCTGATTATGTCCTTAGACAAGACAGAAGTTCTGATTTCATCTCTGTCTCTTTCCAGGACAAAGTCGCAGACTGTCGTTCTCACCCCATATATGGAATTGGACTCCACTGTTTTGGGTTTATTTGAGATTTCTGGTAATTATGTAGACAATTCATTTCGTATGTCTACAAAATGAATTGTCTGTTTGTCTTTAGAAATACCAAAATCTGACATTTGTGTGAATTGACGCTTTATAAATAAACTGAATAATTTACCAATCCCTTAGACTCTTTAAAAACATCATAGTCACTGCAGAGATAAATATGCAAATCTCTTCCACTATTTCCTTGAAAAGCATTCGAATATTTTAACTACATCTTGTCTAAACTTTTCTCAACCAGAAATGTTTCCAAAAATACTGTTTTTGCGATGCACGTCATATTAATAACGTATATGATATAAAAGTAGGAAGTGATACAAATAGCTTCATTATCACTGTTTAAATTAAAAGTTCAAGTAAATATATATTAAAAAAACAAACATAACTTGACTTTTTTTAAACATATCACGATATTTTCAGACTCTAGTTGTGAAGCAAAGTTCAAATCAAGTAATAAAGGTTTGATTAGATGTGTTTTTTGTTAGCAACTGTATCTTTATTGTCAGTCAACTAAACACTTTTAAAATACTTCTTGGTCTCTTTCACCAAAATAAAAAAATGTCAGCAGTAAGAGAAGAGTCAAAGCGTGAACAGCGGCGTTGGCGCCACCTTGTGTTCTCCTTCTCTTTTGACATCTGGACTCGTAACATCAGGCTCCTGATGGGCAAAAATACTGAAAACCTACACAATTTACTGCAACAGTAACTTTAAGTTTTGGCAGTTTGGCTAATTTTCACAGACACTGGCTGATAACATCAATTTCAAATAAGGATGTTATCTATATGTTTTTTATAGCTTATAGATTATTACTTCAACTGAGCCCTTCAAGGCATATATAAAAGCAATACTTATGGAAAAAAGGTCACATTTTGCAAGAAATTATGAAACATTATCCATGCCATGTTTTAGCTGTAACAGGATTTACCGCATTCCATCTCTGAAAAGATAAATCTAAACGCAAATATGACATCGAGTAAAAAAAAAAAAAAAAGGTCTAAGCAGTTAATGCAGCATGGCAAGCAGTTATTATGCTATCTACAGCAATGTAGTTTCATGATTACCTTGTGAATGTGCTTGTCGGAATACAACACTGATTACTGTGTATGTTTAAAAAGAAAAAACATGAGGATATCTAAAATGACATTTGTCTCCCTGAGCTGGAAATCATTCGTTAAGAAACAAAAAACAACAAATGATTTTCGTCTCTCGCTCGGCCAGTGGAGCTCGTTACAGCTTGACGCTTCCTGACAGGATGGAGCGGTAGACCTCAGCCGTCAGCGGTACGTAGCTTTTCGCTCTGTCGTCGAGGACGTAAAGAGGCTCCTGGATGTTTTCCGGATCAAACCCCTGATTCACTAGCTTCACTTTCATCTGCTTAAAAGTGGCTGTGACTTCCACTGCACTCTGGAACGAGAGGAAAGGGACTGATCACAGCCGCGCGTTCACAGCAGAACAAAGCCCGTCTGTTTGCGCTCGTTTCGACTGAATTTTACCTGCAGCCTTATGAAGCGAGGCCGTGCGTATGAGGGCAGGTAGCTAACAACGTGGTCATAAAGTTTACTTCCGTCAAACCGTGCGTCGTTCTTCAGAGTGGCAGCTGCCATTCCCGCGCGCCCCTCGTGCCCTGAATGAAAATAAAATAACATAAATTCAAACAAAATTCAGCTGTAATAAGAAAATTATGCTAAACGATATTTGCTAAGTGAGTATTACCTGGCACTTGCACTCCGTAAACATTGGCCTCTTGCAGACAGTCACTCATCGAAAGGATGTCGGAGACCTCAGTTGTCGCAACGTTCTCACCTTTCCACCTATGTTCTCAAAATAACTTGCAATCAGTTGAAGTCTTTATTTATTTATTTATTTTTTTCTGGTTTAGACATGTAGTAAAACATAAAATAAAAGCCAATTAAGGATTTGGTAAAAAAGAAATTCTGGTTCATTATAGGTAGAAGTAAAAGAAAAACTTGTCCTCTCTACTGTTTTATCTAATCAACAAGTCCACTGTTAGGAGAAGGGCAGTATACCTGAAGGTGTCCCCGACACGATCCTGGAAGTAAATGAAATTGTCTTTATCGATCCTCATTAGGTCACCGGTGTTGAAGTAAAGGTCTCCCTTTTTCAGGACATTGCGCAGCTTTTTCCTCTCCGTCTGCTCTTCGTTTTGAGCGTATCCAACAAAAGGTGTGATGTCTGTAATCTTCGACACCAGCAGTCCCGTCTTACCTGGGACAAAAAGACCAAGTTCAGAATAAAAAGACCAAAAAAAAAGAAAGAAAAAGATCTGTCACTGTTGTAATTACTCTTCACCTTTCGAGGTCTCAATGCAGAGACCGTTAGCATCTCGTACCGGTTCGTCGCGCTCTGTGTCGTACTTCACAAGTGTGTAGGGAAACAATCTCTGCAA